CTACGTATCATGTTCCACATGAATCAGACCAAGCGTAGTTCTGGAAAAGTAATGGACAAAATAAACTAGAAAAAAATCTTTTTGGATTTTTCATTTAATTTTTTTTTGGTTTTTCAAATACAAAATGGGAAGTAATATAATAAAAAACTCGATATTATGGTACAAGACTAGAAAGTAAAAGACAACATGAATGATAGACTCAAAACATAAAAGTATCTTTGAGCAACTCCTGAATGCAGTGGTCTTCGGGTATTTGTCATGCTCGAGCTCTGGTACACTGATCCATTCCTAAATGAGAAAAATAAGACCAAACAGATTTAGCGACTCAAGACACTATGTGACGCCATTACACCTCCTATGGGACACATGCAAGACACGATTGGGCTATTTGTGAAAATTAACCTATGTGGCCAAGAGTGGCTAGAAGTGTAAACTCAACAAGATAGACCTTATAGACATGGAAAATGCCTCACTAAGGCTTATATGGATTCAAACTCCCAATATCATGGCCCAAAATTAATTTGCGAAAATTCCCCATTTTGCAAAAATGATCGATATGGCCAGAAGTGGCTAAAGATGCAAACTCAAAAGAACGGACCGTAAGGTAGTGGGACACTTAGTTGCCAACTCAGAATTTTGAGACATGGGTCAATGAACCACTTTTGCGAAAATGACCTCATTTTGCAAAAATGGCCGATGTGGCCAAAAGTGGCTAGACATGCAAATTCAACAAGAATGGACCTTAAAACTAAGAGGATACCTTGTGGTAGACTTAGGACTCTAAGACATGGATTAACAAGCTACATTTGCAAAAATATCCCTATTTTGCAAAAATGGCCGATGTGGCCGAACGTGGATAAACATGCAAGATTTGGCTACAACCCTCCGAAGCCAAGAACCTAAGACTTACTAGGAATATCAGATCCTCTGTGGGCTGCCTATGTATCCCGCCCCGAAAGACGAGAATCAGGTATGCGTAGTTCGAGAAGATTGGATACGGTAGAGATTAAAAAAACTGATTTGAAGAAAACATATTTTTTTGTCTTTTTTTGAAAAATGATGAAACATGTAAAATCTTTTTTGGATTTTCTTTTTCTTTTTTTTTTGGTCTTTTCTTGAAAAGGTTGTGAAAGAAAAATATAATTGGGCCCTACTTGCTTTATTTTTCACCCTTCTTTCCAAAACATCGGTCCGCCAAATGACATTTCTACCCTCAAAGATGCAACACATAGGGATGATTGAATGTCCTTTTGGGCCATGGTCCCACTTGACATAATTTGGATAAGCCTCCTACAATGGGACACAGTGTCTGAGACCGAGCCCTGCTAGGTCTAAATGACATGATGCAAGTAAGAATGACCTAAAGGCTGACCTAAGTTTGGGGTTCACTAACAAGGCAACTTGGGGGAGCGTATGGTCGATAGTGGCTGCTCAAGCTTTTCACCAACTCCATACGTCCGATGCCCCTCCCCCCTCCTAAAATAAGGGTGACTCATCAAAGAGTTCGTGCACGCGACATGTACTCTAAGACTTGTTGCAGAAAGAAGATCCATGGTTATGCAAAAGATGACAGTTATAAAGCGGGAAACACATAAGGAAAAGCGATAAACAAATAACCAACAAAACAGGAAATAAGACAAACAAACTAAATAAACAAAGCAAATAAAGAAAACAAACACCTCAATCGAATATCCTAAAAGCCAACAAGATCAAGTATCAGCTCGAATCTATAACTCCCCAGCAGAGTCGCCAGAGCTGTCACACCCCATTTTTTACAACTTCATTAACCCTCTTATAAAATAATAAAAAGTGATTTTTGAAGCTCAAAAGGGTTTTCAAATTTGAAAGTGACAAAATTGCGTTCAAAAGGATTTTTCGGAGTCGCCACCTGACATTTGGTTTCAGTTTGTCAGGTCACCATTTTTAGGAATGATTTTTCCTTTTAAAACACTTTAGACTCCAAAACTAAATCTGCACCAGAGTTCTAGGTAAGGGGATTCATTTGACTCAGGGAGAAGGTGTTAGGTATTCCTGAGTCCTGTGAAAGTTACGGTTGCATACATGATCAAGTCGACTTTTTAGAATGTTTGAATTGAGGTAAAAACACAGAAACGGGAAAAACACACAAGAGGCTCAAGATCGTTCCCACCTAATAAAAGAAAGATAAAAATAAAAATGAAATAAGAATAAAAGTACTACGAATTCACTTTCGGCCTCCAATTACAGAATAATACGGGGCATTCCCCGGAATAAAATATATACAAATCCTTCAGGGCATTCCCTGGATAAATTTAACTAAGGGAACGACCTCTCGCCTCAAACTAACAAAAATCTTAAGGCATGCCTACCTAAGTGATGACGGCCTATGCATACTCCTACTCGAAAAATAACTAAAGCATGAATAAAAGAACAACATTATTATCTTGAACCTAAATTTTCTTTTAATTTTTACCCAGCAACCCAATTTCTATACTGTGATAAAATCATGTTCAACTATAACCAATTCGAGTAAACACGAGCAGATAACTAAGAGAGCAAATTCAAAACTATAGAGAACAATTACACAGACAACAGAATCATATCACCAAACAAACAATTAACATTAAGCTTGAATAAAACGAATAGAGGATGAAAGAATTGGACTTCAATATAGCCGAAAAATTGATTGTTTCACTATTTTGAACTCAAAAATATGACGAACCGCGGGCAGAACTCGAATTAACACCAAAAAGCTCGAATCGGCATCGAAAACCTCAGCGGACAACAACGATTTCAATAACATCAACTGATCAACGAAGAGAAAGACAAAACCTTTTATGTTCCATGGAAGAAATTAAAGACAAGCTTGGTCCAAATGTCATTCCCAAGTAGAGCAAATGAAAAATACTTTAAAGTTGGGGATATAAACTGAGTACGTTATCCGATCCTAATAAGCTTGAGAAAGGGCTTGAAGGAAAGCTTGAGAAAGAATCAACAACAAATTAAACAAGCAGATTTGCAACAATCAGGTACTTAGAAGGAATGCAAGCAAATCACTTGAAAAAGATCAAACAAAGAGCAATATTATCAACAGAGAGAGCAGTGCCAAACTATGATGAAATTTAGAAGACAAAGAAAGTCATGTACTGCCTAGTTTCGGAAGAGAGGACAACAGAGGACCATTTCTTAATTAGGATCGGGGTTTTGTGGGGAGGCCGCTAGGTTAGAGGAATTTCCTTTCTTGAACAAGAGTGACAGAGGGGAGTCTAGAGATGAAGGGTGGTCGACTGTTAGGAGGAGGTGCGGTTAGGTGAGAGACTGCGACAGAGGAGCTGGTTTTCGACGATATTGGTGGTGGTCGGCGGTTGATGGTCTTCACAATTGAGGGTGTTGTTGTCATTGCCTTCATGTATATTAGCTAGAGAGGATCGAGTGGCTAGCTGGTAAGGGAGGAGATGACTGGGNGTGTGTCTGATTTTTTGAGAGGAGGAGTAAGTAGTGACAACTGGAAAAATGGGGTTCTTTCTCTAGGGTTTTAAGTGAAAGAGATAGGGATTAAAAGGGGAGATGGGTCGTGGGTCTTGGGCTTCAGATTTGGGCCTTAAAATTGGACTAAAAAAATGTTCAAACCTTAGCTAAGTCCCTTTTAATATAAGATAAATATACTACATAATGTAAACATCTATCTAATTAATTAAACTAAATTATATATAAAATATGAAACTATTTTTGATATTTTTCAAATGTCATACTAAAATAATAATAAGATTAGATTAGAATCATCGCAAAATTAAAATAATACTACTACTAAAAGTACTAATATCCTTGATAACAAAGTGTAACTATTTTTGTATTTTCGAATTTTATGTACGGTAGATAAAATAAAAGTAACTAGATAAAATATCAATTAGTTAAATAAAAGAAAATATTTTTGTAATTTTTATTTTTGTGATAAAATAAAGTAAAAGAATCAAAACTAGTTAAAATAGCGATATTATATCTAAACTAAATATTTAAATACGAAAATGTGTAAAATCTTGGGGAGGGTAAAAAATTACATGTCTACGGTAATAAGTAAGCGCATTTCATCCTAAAGCCAACTGGAAGACATTTCATATAGTAAACAAATGCATTTAAAAAATCTTTATCTCCGCAATTTAGATATAGCCTTTGATTTTCCTGGCACATAATTGACTGCCATATGGTCTACTTAATTAAATAATAAGTCAAATTAATTTGAACTATCAAGATCAATGTTATAGGCCACAAATACAAACTAATTGATTGGTACAAACAGAAACAGAAGTCTAAAAGGATGAATTTAAAGTATTCAAAATTCTTACTGGGTAAAAAAAGTTATTAACCGTAATTAAAATTTGTGTATGTGATTTTCCGAATTAAATCATGTATTTGGTAGGTTATTAATTTTTATATTTATTAGGTCTAATTTTGATTTCTGAAATCTAAATTGCAAAAAAGTTAGTAATATTTTTCAAGCTTTCCATATTCTTCTGTTTGGATATTTCCGTCCCTTTAAAGCTGTTAAGAAATAGCCAAAAGGTCAAAATAAATAAGTAAAGAATTCAGAAGTAACTGTAGTTAATATCGACTGTTTTTTCTTTTTCCAAAGTTAATATGATTTCATTTGTAGCCAGATTATAATACAAATCTTATTAGGCTAGATTTTACGGGCGAATATGTATTAAATTGCAATTCACAATAAAATCATAGATGCCGTCCCTCCCCTCTAACCGACTATGAAATAATGCTCGTCCATGAACGAGTAAATGTGATGAGTCAAATAATTTTGATTATCAAGATTAGTATTATAGATTATCAAGTAGGAAATTCAGTCTATCAATTTCTCATCTTAGTTGATAATTTAATTATAGTAAATTATTATGATTTGATGTAAGCATGGTATATGCCGTACGGGTAATTTTCTTTAATCATTTTAGAGTCCATATACATTAGTATCAATGCAATAATCAATATGATTATTTCTAGAGAGGTGCCTACCGACATAAGTTTGTGTATGTCAAAATAGCATAGACTAACCTCAGCTCAGTTTCCATCAATGTCAAAGTAACGCTAATACTGCTACAACTCACCTTCGCCAAATTCAAAATTTGTCAATCCATAAATCGCCCGCCCAAACGCACGCCACACCATCTCATCTCCTAATTTTGAAATACTATTTCTTTTTTCATCTGTCTCTGGTTTCAACCTCTTTCAGCAATACCCATACCCTAACTAGGGATTCTAAATCATCAATTTCCCATTTTTTGGGATTTATTTTCAATTCCCCATTTCTTGATGGCAAACTCCGATCCTCCTCCTCCTCCTCCTGCTGCCCCTCTCTCTGCAGTACTTTCTTTGACTCTGTAGTTTAATATGTGACATGGGGTTCTCTTGCTTTCTTAATTTTCTGTTTCTTTAGCATCAAAACTGTGTCTTTTCTATTAGATTACTTTTTGAACTGGGTATTTTCTGATTTGCTGTCTTCTTACACTTATTTGTTTGATATGCTAAATGGGTCTTTTTTTTTAATTGTGAGATTTTGATATATTAGCATGAAAATGGTGTCTTTTTCACATGGGGTTGCTTCCTTACTCTGAAATATAAACTGGGTATTTTGTCAATTGGATTTTTCTTGTTTTTTTAGCCTCTCTGGGTTGATATACGAATTT